GAAAATGAGCCCACGGTGAGGAAAAATGTGACAGGAGCCAAAAAAAGCCTAAAAACTGCTTAAGGTTCAGAGGATTAAAGACCCTCTCTGGTGAAATTCAAGTTTTTTCGAGCTTGTTAACTTGTCCAGATGGTGCTTTTATATGCTTGAAGCAACCTTGTCTGTAGAAAAATGTTGTTGATGATGTTTTTACACAAGTAAACTGCATTCTTATTTACATTTTGAAAGAAACACAATTTGGTTTTGCTTTCTCATCAAAAGGTAAGATTGCGATGTGAGCTGGAAAGATTCCCAGTTTGAAGGAGACACAACGTCTGCATAGGGGAGTAGGAGGGGAGTAGCATGGATGCCGTAGGTCTGCAACAGGACTTCAGGTTTCTTCTGCACTCATTGTTTACTTTTGATTTCACTCGCTGTTTGGATTTAGGAACCAAAACTACGTGGTTAAGTTCAGAAAAATTCTCATGGTTTGGTTGAAACTCTCTTAACGATTACCACATGTTCGAAGCTTGGTTAAGTTTAGACACCAAAACTGTGTGGTTAGGTTTAAGAAAATATCATGGTGCGGGTTAAACTACGATCCTTTCACAACACGTTTGAAGCTTCGCCACTATTTTCCAGTTACCGCGATGGAGTCACGATCCACCCAATATAAGACTGATTGGCTGAAAAGCATTGACAGTGAAATTATAAAATAGTTGTAATGGGAACTATTGGTAGACTGGGCTGGCTACAAGACGTATCATGATCAAAAGTCAAGGCCATGACTGAGTATTTCCACCTTGAAACTGCAGAGTATTGTCTCAAAAACAAAGACTCAGACGTCTGAGGGAAGCAATCCGGTCTGACTGCAGATTTTCCATCATATTATTCTTATTTTTTAGCAATGATTTGCAGTTCTAATGCTTGAATTACCTCAATATTAAACTTGCCATTGTGTACACAGAGCAGTTTGACAGTGTTTGACCAAAATCGTGGGTAAGCTGGTGTGCTCGAGCCGCAACGAGCAGAAGAGACTTCATAGATGTGCACATTCTAAAAGAGGCCACAGTCCAGAGTGATTGAATGGTGTAGATGTAGCAACAATTTTAGGGAAGAGGGGATTATTTCCATGGAAAATATTCATAATATGTAACTTTGATGAGCAGAGATGAGCTTTAAAGATAAACAGCACTAATGATGTGCAGTGATATAACTCGGCTTGACCGGAGCTGGACTGAAGATGGGGGTCAGAGGAGGAGAGACGGGGGAGGGAGGACGGCAGCGGAGTGTCTGTCTGCTTTTCCAGAGAACATCAAATCGGGCCACTCAGGCTGTAAACATTGATCCACTGGGGAAATCCAGAAAACAAAAGCAAATGGAAGCAATAAAATTTGCTGGTGCGGCGGTGGGGGGGGAGGGAGGGCACAGGAGCCCGGCTGCACCAAAGGTAATGCAAAGGAGTTTGGCACAGGGGGATACAAAATAACACAAAGTAGATGAAGTTTCCATTTCTCCACTGCTGGTTCCCCCACTATTTTTCCTACGCTGTAGTGTGATTAAAAGTTCTCGTCGAGTTACATAAGCTGCATTACACTACCAGTTCTGAACAGTGAAAGGTCAGAATTGTTTATTTGCAGAGTTGCTGCCCAGTTTTCTGTTCAGCCAAAAAATTAATTATGTGATTTTTTTTCTTCTCTTTTCTTCCTGCGCAGCTATAACCTGACTTTTCATTATTTTTATAAGCCGTTTGTGAGTAAGCCCGGTGCAAAATTTGATGATAACTATTTACATAAAGATGATGTCACTCAGGAAAGGAGGCAAACAGAAGCCAATAAAGCGGCAGAAGGAGGCTGGCAGAGGAGGAGAATTCACTTTCGTGGTACGTTCGCGAGCTTCTGTGTCTTTTTCAAGCATTGGAGACAGAAAATAGAAACTCTAATGGGACAGAGAAGCTCAGCGAAAAGAGTGGCTCGTTGTTATATAATTACAAATAAAAGGAAAAGAGAGGAGGGGGGGGTTTAGCCTGGCATGCAACACACTCCCAGATGAAAACAATATTCAGATGGAAACGTACAGTAACAGGATGCCTCACGTTGGAAGAGATTCCATTTTCTTCCTTTCCTTTATTTTTTTCCCTCCCTGTGCTTATGTCAAAAAAAATACATTCTGACATATGTGGCGGGGTAGAGTTTCAGGTTGTGAAGGGATGGGAGATGGGAGTCTGAGCTGTAGGAAACCACAGGATGTGAGTCTGGGTATGCTGCAGACTCTGACAAATACACACACACACACACACACACACACACACACAATGAAGACATACAAAATCAATACAAAACATCAACAAGCACGCCAAATACACACTCCCCCACACTCCCAGTCAATTCCAACTCCTTATTTTTCTCCGTGTCTGTTTTGAAATCAACTTTAACATGCTCTCCTTGGAGATTTCGCCGCGGATTACTTTCAGAGAGAGAAGACAGCGAGCGCAGAGACAAATTAAGTGTGAGAATGAGAGCGAGAAGGAGGAGGAGAATAAAAAAAAGGACGACTACTAAAGGGTTCGTCCTGCCCGAGAGCTCCGCTTGATCTTACGTAGTAAATGTTTTTTTTAGCATAGCTGGTCTTTGTGATGGCTTTAAGAAGATTAAAAGCTCATTAAAAAGCTCATTAAAAAGTGATTATATGCTGTGGCTCTGTATATGCTTTCAAGGTAAAGGCTGTATGTGTATCACTGAGTCGCACACCAGAGAATTCAGACATGAATTCAAAAAATAAAAAGGTACATCAGTGAAAGCGCTTCAAGAGATAAAATGTGCAACACAGCGAGAAATGGAACCTCAAACATTCCTGAAAAGCAGAAAGCATTCATGATAAATTATTCCAAAGAAAATGATCCCATTTATTGTCTTTGCTCTCTCCACGTTTAATGGCTTCTCAAAAAAAACGAAATCGAAACACTGCGACGGGAGATGATGGAGTTTCCGTGTTTCTCCTAAAGCTCATTCTCTCTCACCAGCTTCTCTGATTCCTTCTTTCTACCTCAAACCCGATCCCCTCTTTGTTTGTCTAACCCTTTTCTCCCTGTGTTCTGTAATCCCCTGATTACAGTCACACTTTCATTAGCTGGAGGCGGTTTTCTGCTGAGTTGAGCTGTTCTCCACTAATAACACTAAAAGCTACAGGATGTGTATGTCACTGTGCAGGCCTGAGCGCCACAAACACAAAGCGACTGCTACTGTGTCAGGAGCGTGTACGCATATTAAAGGAGTTCAATATTTTTGAGAAATGGCTAGAGAGTGCCAGATTGATACGCTTGATGTGAATATGGAACTATAGCAGAGCAGGCGTTTAGCTTAGCTTAGCACAAAGACTAGAATCAGGGGGAAACTGCTAGCCTGTTTCTGTCCGAAGGTAAAAAAAAAATCCACCTACCAGCCCCTCTGAAGATCACTATAATTAACATGTCATATAGTCTTTGTTTTGTCATGAAAACAGGTGAAAACAACAATTTGTTATCATTAAGCGTCAGGTTATTTCTTGGCTGGGACCAGAAATTTCTTGTAGTCTCCTCTGGTTGCCTGGCAACTGGTCAGAAGTAGTCTTGCAGATTACCTCCTCTGCAAAACACTGATTTGTTGTTTTTACACTTGGTTATTTCATGGATTAAACAGATGAGACATGATGCGTTAATTAGCGAACATTTACAGGTGTTGATGAGTCAGCAGCCCCGCTTTTTCCAGTCTCCATGCTAAGTTAAGCTAACCAGTTGTGACAGCTGCATATTTATCATAAAGACATGACCTGCAGAAGAGTCTTGGATGGGAGATGAAGTGTCTTCAAGAACCAAAAAGAAAACTCCAGTTGCCTTTTACTGAAGCTCATAGGATTACCAGAACGATGTGCTTAGAGATGAACTATGCTACTGCGCTAGTGCTAAGTACAGCGTTGCAGACACGTCTACCCATCGTAGATGTCTACAGGACCAAAAATATGTTAAACTGATGTGTAGACTACTGTTGTCTTTGCCATGGTAAATACACAAGTCATAAACCACAAATTTTTGAAATATCAAAAAAACAAAACAGAACATGCTAATTATGTTTGTTTGCTTAACTGCTATGAAGCCAATAAACCAGGCAGTATAGGCTATGTCATACATGGCTGGAATAAACATAGAAGAACTAGTAGAAGAAGCCAGAAACAAAACCAGCTGTTTTCTAGTCGCCAAAAAACCCCACAGAAAAGGAAGAGGAAACTAGTCTGTGAAGATTCTCAGTCATCCAGGTCATGGTTAACCAAGAGGTTTCATCAGTTCTGACTGACGCTCAGAACAGTCAGAACTGATGAAGCCTCTTGGATGAGAGGTGACACGTCTTCAAGGAACTCAAGCAAGTCCAAGTTGATTAAACTACGAGAAAGAGGAAACTAACTCTAATTTGGTCATCTACAAGAGAAAAATGGATAGAAGTCTTCAAGAAATGTTTTCCACTGGGCATGTTGTATTTATTCTTTTATGTCAGCTGGTATTGGCGTGCTTCATGATGCATGGATACGACGGCAACGAAAGACGAGCAAACAGCTGATCAGTCATGTGAATTAAAGTTTGTTACGACAGAAGTGAAGCCCATTTGTTTTTCTTTTTCTAAAAAGTCAAAACCCACCTTAATGGAGTGTAAAAACATTTTTTTTTTTACTAAACTAGATATGTTTTTTCAAATTTTGCTACTTCTATTGGCTTTTTCTAATGCAATACTCCAAATGCATGCATTGCTCATCATACTAAAAGGTCCATTCAAACTTTCCTGTTTGAGCCCACCTTTCAACCAATCAGTATTCGACCTATGGATAGCATCAGTGCTACGTAAGCCTCTGCATTGGCTGCATTTAAATGGTCCTGCATACACAGAGGGCTACGAAAACCAAAGCAGTTCCATAAATGTGTCTTTACGCTACACCCTCTTTCACAGTGCCATTATTTTCTCCCCGTGCAGAAAACATGAGGACAGCAGTCTTACTTTTCATCCATGTTGGTGGAGTTCCTCGACGTGAACGGGACGATCTCGCTGCAGGAGTTCTCTTTGCCCTCCGCGGTGCCGTTGGCCCTGATGAAGGGGTCCAGGTCTTCGACCGAGCCCCCCGGTTTGGTGCTGTTCTCCAGGTTGAGCAGGTTGAGGTACGACTCGGCACAGTCCACCTGGGCGGGGGAGAGGGGTGAGGCGTGGAGCGGCCATGCGGGTGTGGAGGTGATGAGCTGGTCCAGGGTCTGACTGTAGTGATTCTTTAGATTCAAGGAGAGAGACTTTACTGACGCGCAGACTGAGCTGCTCGCTGACTGCTGGCCATCTGGAAGAAACAGAAAACACAGAAGACAAATCAACAAAACATGACTAATAAAAACAACAGTAAATATAATGAGAAGGTTCAACCACAACCAGCATATTGACCATTTCTTTTGTTCGATTTGGCGTCTTTGTAAAGATCTCCCTAAGTGCTGACTGTCATTACTGAATGGAGGAGCTGGAGCGGAGCCAGTCGCTGCACTCAGGCCACAGATGAGCAAGATTCCTATCAAACAGGCTAACATGATTAATACAGGCACGACACATTATTTGTCAGTTTTAAAATGTGCGCACACACACGCACACCTAAAAGCACAATCAATATGAAAGCGGATTTGTACGTACACATAGCTCTGCCCACCGAGTGTGTACTTGCGGTTATTCATTATTATTTTGACAAGATTGGCTGTTCTTTCAGCTGCTGTAAACACAATCTTCCTCTAAAAATCCTCCTTTGGGACAACGTGTGTGCATATGTACCAAAATAAAGGTTGTTAATACAATCCAAACTCTCACCGAGAACAATGCCTGCGAGTGTGAGATAAGGCCGACAGAATATGTTTTTTTTTTTAAATCCGCCGTGCTCGGTGTGATTTACACAAGTACAGAGATGCTATTGTGCGCTACAGAGGGCAGCGCGGTGTGTAACAAAATGTGGGGTTTGATGCATGGCCCCTCGATTTTAATTGTCAGGCCCGATATACAACCGCAACAATCCTTTTAGAGTGAAATCTCATTTTGAAATAATGTCGGGGCGATTAATCCGGTTGACTGTGATTTGATTTCTTCAGGATGCGGATCTGGTCAGCAGTTTTATTTTTGTACAAATATCTGCAAAGTTAAACATCAGCCTCAGTTGAAGTCTGTGTTTACTGCTAATTAGTAAATGTTCAGTGTCTAAATGCCACCTCATAGAGCATGCCTGGAGACTCTTGGTCTTTTAAATAGAACCATATGATAACTGAGTGCATGCAGCTTGTTTTCCACAAACAAGTGTAAAATATAAAACAGAAGCGTGTAACCTTTTAGTCAGATCTGAAATTAGCTCAGTTACAGCAAAACAGACGTTTTCAAAGCTGACTACAAACATTTCTTTCATTTTTTCTTCCCTCACTCACGCTATCATCAAATTGGCTTTTCATCTGCCCTCATCACCCCTGATTTAAAAGCCTCCTCTGATAATGCGAGCAACACATTTTCTGCATTTAAATAAACCTCACTACCATCTTCAAGAACGCTTTAAGCTGCTTTCGCTCACACAGAGGACAGAGCTTTTATCCTCACTGCAAGACAAAAGTGCCATGCTAATTTTAAGGTCACCGAGGTGATAGGAAGGGAAAAAACACTCTCATACACCTGCAGAGACAGGTTCAGCCCCTGGCAGCTTCTGCCCCACAAAAGCCCAACTGACAGCGTTGGCAGGCCGGTGAGTCGGCGAGGGATCACGGTTTGTGTCACGACTGTCTGCATCAGCCACAGGCCAACGGAGGGGGTGAGCATCGGGGACCGCAGCGCACGGTGAACCTGACATGACATGAGTTTGTCTGAGGGATCACGCTGTTCCTGCCCGTCACCTCCCCAGTCACTTACTGTGCCCATTAGCTTGAGGCTCCTGTTGCGGCTGCCCTGCTTGAGTTGTTTTCGGGGAGCGGGCCTCCAGCTCTTTCAGCTGCTGCACCAGCAGGGCCAGGTGCTGCAGCAAGTCCCTGTTCTGCAGCAGCAGCTGGTGGACGCGGGCCTGAGCCTCCATACGAGCAGCCGTCTCTGCTGCCATTTGATCTTTCAGCAGCTGCACCTGTAGACGGAACAAAGGTCTGTGACATGGTGTATTGTACATGAAAATAAAGATACACTATCCCTTAAAATGTGTGCTCAACTCTCTAAACTCCCAAACCGCCTGGCAGGTTTGAAAGCCAGTTAGTCTTTTTTTTAAAAAAGCACCAAAACGACACAATTAATCACAGAAACTGTAAAAACGGGAAGAATCATTGATTGTTTTTTAGCTTTGCAACAGTCCTTGAACTACTCATCTGTGAGATGTTGTTCCATCTGGAAACTTCACTAAATCGAAGCTTAAAATGATGATATTTGATCTAAATTGCTAACTCTGCATGTGTCATTTAAAATAAACTCTGCTCTAACAAGATTCTGCTAAAAATAAATAAATAAAAATCTGTGGTCCTTGTCACCACCAAAAAGCCCTGAGTGACTCATCTGCAGTTCACACTCATGTGACAAGAATTCTGGGACTTTCTCGCTAAACTGAGCTGAACTCCAGGCTGTGTTTACACAGAGCAGAAAGAATAGAAGCTTTGAAACTAATTAAAAATGTATTTAGTAAAATATCTACAGTATATAGAGTCAGCATTTTTCTGCTATTAGCTTCACGGAAAAATGTTGTTCAAGTTGGCTCCACGTGTAAAAACCAATAAGAGAAACTCAACTTTAGGTTTTTCTCTCTTTTTCTTTCATGATTTATGGCGCTATACCTTTATTATGCTGCAAAAAGACATTTTAAGTCCTTTCCACTTCTATTCCTCGTGGTTGTTTCCATACAGGTACTTTTAATTGGAGTGAAAAATGAGCCCACAGTGATGAAAAATGTGACTGCAGCAAAAAAAAAAAAGGCAGAAACTACCCGGGGCTCAGAGGGTTAAATAGCTTTTCTGGTACCTCACTTTCACTTACTCACACCTCACACAGACATGAGTTTCTGATCCATGATTTTTAGGGACAAAATAAGATTTATGGTCCGGTTCATATCTATAATCAAACCTTAATGATGCTTCGGCTGTTCAGGTGCATCATTAACTTGACTGGTCAAACTGAATCAGCCATGAAATAACGCAGTAAACATACATTTGTGAGTCTTTAAAAATTAACAGCAAGCTTTATTAATTTATCATTAAGATGTTTGACTGAAAACATTTGTGCATCTACATTTCAGCACAGGTTGCGGTTTAGCGTGCCATTACTTAGTTGGTACTGCCCCCTAGTGGAGCTGCAACAACAGGGAGAAAACTGGGTGGTCCTACGGAGCCCACACAGCCAAGTGTGCTGTGCAGTTAGGATCATCAAGATGACAGCCACCTTTGTTTGTTGTTATTCTGCAATTTTTTTCCCCCCCCAAACAATACACAATGAGTGTTTACCGGCTTCAAGACGAGTGACAGCTTACTGTGTGTATTGTGCAAGAAGTGTCAATAGTGGGACAACACTGCAGCGAAAATTGTGTGGAGCTGTTTGTGTGCAGCCTCTCAAAACAAAGCAAGTCCGTCTGGTACTTCATTTAGAATCACAAGGCTGAAATAAAATTAAAACTGTGTCATCAATGTTGCTAAATAGGATGAATAAAGTTCAATAATTAACGCCGTATTGGTTGAGTTAAATTCACGACATGAATCAGGAGCCGTCAGGTTCAGTGAGGTGTACTGAGACTGAAAATCTAAAAGAAGATGCAGTGTCTGGTTCACAGAAATAATAATATATTGATGACTGAGATACCCATTCTAAGGATGAGATTAACTCCTTTCACACTGCTGACCTTCAATCGAGCCACGTCGATTCTCACTGCACCTGCGTTTGAAAGCACTGCCATCATTCAGCAGCAGCTTGGTCACGTGTTTCTCTGTTTGTGAAACTAGTTTTCAGGACGGAAGTTTGGGTTTGCTTAGGGACTCCACCTGTAGTTTGAAAACGTAGAAAGCGGTGCTACCCCTCTTGTACTTCTGTTTCACACAGCGTAGGCAAGCTTGTCTTTTGTTAACGCAGCTCAGGTTAGTGTATTTATAACTCCTGGTCAAAGTCCTTCTTTCTCTTTAGCTTCACGAGGTTTTAGCTTCTCTTATTTGTTCCAGTAGCGTCCTCCGCCCTCCCTCTGTTCCTCCTTTAACTAAAATTGGGTTCTTAAATTTGTGGTAATTGCCTGCTTTCAATAAGCCAGTATCAGCTTTTGGTTGAACAGCATCCATCTGGCTGTTATCTCTGTTACTTTTTTACCCCCAGTGAGCTGAGATGTAACGAACAAAAGCAACGCTACTGATTTAAGATAAGCCTTTCAAATGAAGGCAACAAAAGGACAAAGACTAAGAGAGATAAAGAGCAAATATCAGTGGTTACAACTCTAGGAACCAATCTGCGTACAGGTGAATTGGCCAGATGATTAATGGAAGAATAACTGTTTTGCTAATGAATTTATTGATTTTGAATGACAGGTGTTGCTGCCTTCCTCGATTTGCTTTTAATTGCAAATGAATGACCTTTAAGTTTTGGACTCTGAAGCTATGATGAGGCATTTTGTTCACAATCTATAAAACAATGATGTCAGAATGACTTCTTGGAGTTCTGAATCTAACTTAAATTGTTGGTTTAATGCAGCAGCATGTTGGTCATAGTGCGTTTTCAGTCATGTGTGCTGCAGAGTTTTCCACAACCTGTGTGTTATGCGTGGTTGTCTTACCTGAGCGACGGCCACCTGTGTGTGCTGCTGTTGCTGCTGCAGCTGCTGCTGAAGGAGCTGCAGGTAGTGCTGAGAAGCCAGCGGAGTGAGAGACGGAGAGCAAGGGCTTCTGGGAGTGACGCCTTGGGATGTCACAGTGTAGACGGACCTTCGATCAAAGTCCTGACAACAGACAAACATCAGATTTTATAGATGGAAAGAAAACGGTTTAAAGTGAAAGCACAATCCTCTGAAGACACAATGGGTTTTCAGTATTGGACCTCAGAACCCACAGCCCTGCCAGCGTTTCATCCTGGCTACATAATAAAAGCTATTCTTAGCCCTTGGACACCACATGAATGCAATTAACGAACCAGTAGGAGAGAAACTTCCCGGTCCTCTGAGTCCCCGGAACCAGGACTGCGACCCACTGATCCGGAGCCCCCTGGAGCCCGACTCTAACTCCTCACTAGAGCTGGAATAATCTCTGAGCTCATTACTATATCATGCACAGTCTCCTTCTGTCTCCCTCCTCCCTGGATTCTTAGATGATTTTCCAGATGATCTCTGGTAGCACAAATATTTCCTGGAGAAATGGGACATTCCCTAAGCAGCTTTTCACTTCACCGCCTCTCTCATAAAGAAAGGAAGGGTCGAGCAATTGTGTGTTTCTGCGTCTATATCACCAAGAATAGAAAAACAGAGCATGTCTGTTTGACAACACATGTATGCAAAACACATGACAATCATGCCCGTGTTGTCACATCAGTTTCTACTAATGACATTACTTTGTTTGCTACAGCTACACATGTTATGTTGTCATGCCTGTATTCCACCACTAGAGGGCAAAACAGCACCCTGTAAAAACAACACAGTCAACTGAGGTCTGTCAGAGTGCATCTCAGTTCACATGATGCAAAGAAAAACCAAAATAGGTTTTCATTTGGTGCTTTCAATTCTATTTTTTGATACATTCAGACGATCTACTCTTTTAGCTCCAGTAGCTATAGCTAAGTTATAAACACGGCATCCTACACGCCAAGTTTGCACCTTTTTTTAGTAGTTTGATCTCACATGCTGTCAACATTTAGCAAGATTCTAATCACAACATTGGGTCAGTTTCACAAACACAGACACAGTGGCTCAGATCTAACGGTCAGACTTTAATTAAGAAGTGCAAGGTGCTAACAGTAAGTCATAACCAAAACATACCAAGGCACACTGCTGTGTAAAAATGAAAAGTATCCTTCATAAATAGGCTTAGCACCTACAACTCACAGTCCTCATCAGGGCATATGCAGAGGCGCTAAGCCTGCTCATTACAGGATTTTTAATTCTTGCAGATCAGTGTGCTGTGGGATTTAGTGATGTGTTCCTTGGATCCAAGGAGAACTAGTCTTTCAATACCTGCATTTGTGAGGTAGCACTTGTCAGCCAACTTAATCTAAACTGATCTGTTACACAAAGTTGTTCAGCTCTCGACTATTTTTAGTAGAACCTATAAATTATTTCTGGGTCAAGTTTTCTCAAACTCAAAAACATGAATAACCTGACAGCTGCAACAAACTGCTCAGTTTCCTTCACGCCAGCAGAAAACCGTCTTGAATTTGAACAGTCACAAGGACATCTTAATGGGGAAATGCAGCTAAGAATGTCATAATACAAAAACAAACAAACAACATCTAAAAAAATGCGACCACAGTCAGTTTTCCCAGCAGGTTCTTGCTAGAATACTCTTTCCCTTCTTATTGCCTCCTCCACAATACTGTCAGCAAACACAAATACATCTGAGGTAATCTAAGTGAGGATTTTTAGATTTAAAGTAAGTCTCTATGTAACTGTCTAACTTGCATTACGCTACTTTAAGAGCAAATTAAAAACTGTTTAAACTCTACAGACTCATGTAAAATGTCAGTGTGAAACCATCCCCACGTAACAGTTACAATCAAATCACACTCCCACAGTCCTGATGAAGCAGATGATGAGAATTATTATCCAAATTTTTACTTATTGAGGAATGGATAGTTATATGTTACAGAAAAAAGAAAGCTTTAAGGCATATCAAAGACATATCCATCAAGCCAAAACAATGCATTGTAAATATCATTTATTAAAGACTCTGAAAATCAAGTGTATAATTAGACAAAATTAACCCAAAAAACAATTCATAGTTTAAGGGCTGTGAAAACTCTTTCTTTTTTTTTTTTTTTTTTTTTTTTTAAAAGCTGAAAATCATAAATGTTTCTTTATTATATGAAATATTCACAAATAACTAACAGACAACCAAGTTAAAGTTCAGGGTAAAGAAGCATTTAAATTGTGATGAAGTGATGACTGATTGACTGGGCTGAACTGCAGGCTGTGTTTATACAGCGCAGATAGTAGACAAGTATGGAAACAAATTAAAAATGTAGGTTGTTAAATATCTATAGTATACATATAGTATGTGATACCATTTTTCCCCAGTGTTGGTATCACATGGGAGCACTTAGAAAAAAGTTGAAAGTGTCAAAAACATTGATTCCAAGTTGAGTAAAAATGTAGGAGGCGCAAAAAACACCATCAGATGGGTAGGATGTCAGGACTGTGACTACTGCAATCCTGGTCCTTGAGAGCCCCTATCCAGCATGTCTTAGATGTTTCCCTCTTCCAGCACACCTGATTCACATGATCAGGATCGTTATCAGGCTTCTGCAGAGCTTGGTGATGAGCTGATCATTTGAATCAGGTGTGTGGGAAGAGGGAAACATCTAAAACATGCTGGATAGGGGCTCTCGAGGACCAGGATTGGGCACCCCTGCCCTACATAGTGCACTATATAGGGTTTTGGCCATTTTGTAGTGCTGTCCGAATGTTAAGTTACAAATGTTACATTCTGTATAGTGCACTCAAAATATCCCACAATGCACCGTGAAAAGTAGTGTACAGTCAATGGTCACTAACCGAGCAATATGTACCGTTATGCATTGTGTGAAAGGAAATGCGAACAAGACGAACGAGAGCGCAAAAACTTGTCATTAAAATGTAAGTAATTTCCTGTTTATGTTTTGTCAAATTTTATTTTACTCATTTCTTAGCCAGGCAATAAAATGGGAATTTGATGTGTTTGTATTACGTGGCTACGGCACAAATCGTGGCTAGTGAGCGACATAATTAATAGCTCGAGTAGTGTCTGAAATGTTACATTGCTAAGGTGCTCCCTACATAGTTCACCATATAGTTGTCCCTGTATAGTGAGTAGGGAGTGAGTGGATGATTTCGGACATGTGTGACTCTCTGCTGTGATTGGTCGACATCATCCCCCTTTTTCAAACTAAGCTCCACCCACCTCATCAGGTCAGACAAAAACAAAAATACAAAAACTAGACACTAGATCCTTGCTTGTGTTGTATCCGCTCTCAGATGTATGTCTCTTTGGATAAAAGCGTCTGCTAAATGAAATCGTAGAATTAAATATCTTTGGTGTGAAACAACTGAAACGGTTCTAACTTTCAAACACATATTTTTGTGCCAACGTACTTTGTTCACAGCAGAATCTCATTAAGAAACTCTTTTCAGGGCCTTGAACTGATTATTAAATTAATCAACGGCATTACAAAGCATGGCCTGTGGAGGTGTTTCTGTAGCTTTTTCCACCCTTGTGTTGCCTGTTTGCAACTCCCGAACCCAACAGAACCACATCGTCTATCAGTGCCTTCCATCTAGTCCTCCTCTCTGTTATCCAAACCTTTCATTATTTTTACCTCCATCTCTTTCTCTCCTTCCCTCTCTCTTATTCCTTCGCTGCTTATCTTCATGGAGCAGATGTTCGTGAACCCCTCAATGGGATTATGGTGGCGTTTCTCGGAAATCAAAGGGAACAGACTGGGTTTTTGGGATTAGGTGTCCCCCTTACATAGCCAGCAGGAATATTCAGGTTCCCCGCTTCAGTCCCGCTCTCTCACTCTCTTTTAGCAGCATGATAACAACCGAGTCTACCGCACCGGCTCTGATGACAAATCCAAACCAACTCATCATGACACACCAAAGCCTACATGTTTGCATCTTTCATCCTGTCACTGTCAAAACATTAGAGAAAGATAATTGTCAGTTCCTTACTTCATAGGGATCCAAAGTCTGCCAACTCTCAGTCAAACAAAAATGGTCCTCTTTTATGTCACGCAACAGGGACCGGGGTCATTTTATACCTAAAATATGCTGCCAGATTGGAGCCGTTATTAGTCATGGAGCGCTGGTCAGGTACTGCAGCAGATGACAAAGCACTATACTGTACTTGCTTAGTTCAATGAGCCATTTGGCAGCACTATGCCCAGATAATAGCATCAAAACACCATAAAGCCAAAGCAATGAAACAAGAGAGCAGAGCTGATGTTCTGTAGCTACAAAAGGCAGAAGCACTCTGGAGGAAAGAAGCCTGTGTTCGTCACAGTGTGGACGCTGCTGCTGCCTCACCTCTACTGTCAGCGTCAGTAATAAATGGGGAACATTCATTATGGCTATGATAGAGATGTACAGTCGTATGAATGTGGGGTTTATGATGTGAGGCTGCCTTTAGAAGGAATTTTGCTGTTTTAAGACTTAGCTGACCAGTCAGCATGACAAGAAATACTGGCACAGTTAAGGGCTGAGTGTACTTTACCCTGTTGAACCCCAAGCAGTTTGTTCTTTTTTTTTGCTCCTCTCTACTACTCATAGTGGACTCACTTTTTACAGCACAGATATAGTCCCGCATCTCTAAAACAGTCCATGGATAGAAGCAAAAGAGCTCTAAAATGTCTTCAGTGCACTATAACACAATATAGTGCCACTAATCATAAAAAAGAAGGTTCCATTTCTTTGATTATTTCACAAAAATCGAAATAAACACAAATCATCATGCATAACATTTTTACAAGTGTCCGCAGGTATTTCTATCGGTAAAAAAAAAAAAAAAAAGGTGGCTCCCTCCATATACTATGGCTATTTTACTATATCTTACATTTTGCTACATTGTCTTCCATCTGCTTGTTGCATACACAGTCTGCAGTTCATCTGACTTCAAAAGGTTACTGAACTTTAATTTTTGTCACTACACTTAACACACGACTTTTCTACTGAGATATGTTACACTTATTGTACATTTTGCATTTTATATTTTCTTATTGTTTATTTTTGCTTATTATCAGTATTTATGGTGGCGGTACTCTTGGTGCTGTAGCAACCAAACTTCCCCTTGGGGATTAATAAAGTATTTCCATTCTATTCTGTTCTATTCTATGAACATTGGTCAATTAAGTCACCAACGTCTTCACAGTTGCACCACGGAACACAACATTTTGCCTTTTTTTTTTTTTTTTTACAGAATCTAGTTCATGCAAATGGTTGATTTTTGGCACATTTTAAGAGGACATGTAAATAAAGATTACAACATTAAGCTTGAATTTGGTTAGGTGTTCTGACAGAAAGCTACACCACAGATCAGTAGCTCAGAGACTGTTGGAGAGCTGAAAATCAGAAAAATCTGATTCTGACAAATGGTGCAGTTTTGGAGACTTTTGAAGATAACATGCCCTTCGATCCGACGAGAGGGTTTTCGGTTTCAGTAGGTTAACATAAGTGCTTTAAAAACAAGCTTGCCTGGTACATTTCAGACATCAGATTTGAGAGTGTTTTGTCTGAAGTTGTTTTGTAACTTTAAGCAACTCCCAAATCACAGCCCAGTTTTGTAGTGAATGGACAGCTGTCAGAGGTGAGCAAGTCAAGTGTGAACTGCTCGTTTAATCTCTTTTCACTCAAGCAATTGCAAGAACACTTTCCAAGAAACACTGTCTGAAGATGTGCACTCTAAATCATTTCTCCATCTTGCCCCAGTCTTGAACTGTGGAACTCCTTAAGCATAACCTTATCATATAGAGTATAAGGGAGGCTTTACAAAAACAAATAAAACAGTGGAGATATTTTTTTTTGTTAATTATTTGTGCGCTTACTGAGCCAAATCTGCAGTAACCCAAACCCTTCAGCAGTAATAACACCTCTACGTTAGTGGCCATAATTTTTTGATATTGACTTACAAAGTCAAAGCTGGCAATTTGATTACTGCAGTATCTCTGTGAGCGGATATCAGAATGGTTTGTAATATCACATTCCAACACGCAGGGCTGCCAACTTTGATGCTTCCTTTCATTATTTAGAGAAGCTTATGACTTTTTCAAAGTTGTCTTGAGAAACTTTTTTTGGCAGACTGTTGCTCCTCTGCTTTAAAGACAGTGCCCAATAATTCTCAGTAAATGTGCACTACTTAGTCAGAGAGGCTGGATTCAGTGACAGGGCAGCTCAGTCAACTAATCATGAGCCAGACAGAAATGTAAATGATTTGTAAATATTTCTTCTAAATGAGACAGTCACTGTTCCCCACTGTTACTAAATCACTTACTGTAACTGGACCCTTTAACGTGGCTCCATTTTTTTTTCTCTTCTTCACAAGATACAGAGTTTACAAGAGTTCATGCAGGAGTCATTTGAAGTTTAGTTTGTAATTTTTCATCCCAAATTTAAAAAAAGGCGTTGGTCACTTTTCACTGACGACTGATGTCAAGATTTCAGGCAGTTGGCAAGTTTTCAGGCTGAGGAATCAACATTTTTAGGTGTTGCTCAGTCCTGTCAGTGATTTGAGCAGTGTTAGTGCATGCTGTGAATAGAGTATAATTCTACTGCTGAGTGAGAGGACTGTTTGTTAATGTGAGTAGTGACAGGCCGTCATTTTCTGTCACCACATCTGAACCAATGAAAGCACAACACCTAACACAAGCTACACTCTCCCCTTTGTACCGCGCAGGGTGGAAAAAGAAAACAACGGAGGCGCCAGTGACTCACCAGATCTTAAAGTCTCTCTCTGGTCACTGATTTTTTTCCCTGAAAATAGCCTCTACATGCTTTAAACTGGCTTAGATGTAACTCTACACTGTTGTTTCTACTAGAATGTGTGGATCTATAAAGTCCTCACCCGTCTCTCAACCCATTCCTCCCCACTCACTGCAGCTTGAGCACACCAGCTCACCCACGACTCTGCTCAAACGCAGTAAAAGCAGTCTACATAACACAATGGCAAGCTGTACTATTAAAGCATTTCTGACATACATGTTCAAACTAAAAGCTGTTTCTGAAGAATACTGACGGTATGGGAAGCCTTCAAGTTGACAGGATTGGTTCCTCAGGTTTGTTACATATGAAACCCTGGATGTCTGAATCCTCATATGTACGAAGGTCATCGGGACACTCAAGATTCATGATGTGTCGTACAGCAAATAAAAAACAAACATAAAACCCCACCATACTGACATCATAACAAGGCAATTACCTTCAAAGGAGGTCTTTACTGTTTGAATATATCACAATTCAACCTATTCCAGCTGTACGTGTATGAAAAGTACTCTGTTTCTGTATCCCTCATGTTGATTGTTGTAGTCTCAGTTTATTTTTCAATTTCAAAATATATTTCACAATTTCAATCCATAATGAGATATACTAAGTGTATTAAACCACAGAAAACGAATTCTAAATAGGAATTTCGTCAAGTGTAATTCATTAAAACAAAATAGATGAAAATGAACCACTTCACTGCTTCATGACGAATTACATCTCAATCACATTGTGATTGCTGACGCCGTGACGACAGGGAGTTAAAATGAACTCCTCTGCAGTTCCAGGGTGTATTGGAATATTGGCAGTTCTAGTGTTACAATAAAAAGGAACGTTTAGTTTGGAACCGAGCCAGCCTTGCTTTCTCGCTTCTACTCTCCAGGTGAAACACAAACTCAGTGGCACAATGAGTCCCCAGTCAGTCAAGTCACTGCCTCACAGCATCAAGGAGTTGGGTTTGATTTTGCTGGTTGGCATCAAGTTGTGTCTGCGTTCTCAGGCTTCCTCCCACAGCTCAAAAACACCCATGGTAGCTCAATCAGTGATCCTAAACTGGCTGTAGGTGTGAATGTGCACGGTTGTTTATCTCTTTTTGTTAGCGAAGTGAGTCATTGGTGACCTGTTCAGGGCCTGTCTTTTACCTTATGTCAACAGAGATAGCGTCCAGCCCCTCTACAGGATTAAGTGGGTATATAGCTAATTGATAGATGCAAGTCAAGTCGGTTTATTTATATGGTGCATTTAAACACAACGTACACAGGCATGCATATGTAGACCTCAACCAACAGGGCTATGAGTGCCAGTTAGCAACAGTAACACGCCAAATTCCAATCTGACTTTAAAGCATCCACATTATGCTTTTCCATTAAACAGCATTGTAAAAGGTGCAATGCTCTCTGCTTGGCATTAGAAATGTACAATCCAGTGAACTTTATAGGGCAGCACAGGACATTGTGCCAACCGCATTACGGTCTTTTTAAGCCCCAGTGTTCCACCCCGACAGCATCTTACCATGATGGTCTGTCCAGGTTTGACGACGTTTAGCTCAGCCAGGCTCTGCAGGATTTCACTGACCGCCTTCTCACACAGTGAAGCGCCAGCTGAAGGATCCTCTCCTCCCCGCCTTCCTCCGTGTTTGCCGTCCTCGTCTTCCTCCCCTCGCTCTGCTCCCGTCAGTTTACGGCCTGTGGAGGAACAATCGATGAGCAACGTCACCTCCAAGTTTGCCTTTTGTGTAGACGACAGCATCTCTGTCGTCTACCAATACCATGTTTATATCATATCGTTTCACACTAAATTGATAACTGAAAGCTCTGATGCATCCACCTTAACAGTAAATTAGTGACCAAGCCTCTATCAAACAAAGACGGTCTTAGTTTTTCTAAGTAAACCCTACATTAAGTCTATTTTGAGCACATACACACTAATTTACTCTCACATGATGTACACTTCTCTGATGGCACACAAATACTCACTCACTGTGCAAATTACACTCATTACTTGTAACACAGGCAGCGTCCCACTTGTGTTGCGCTGTAATCACGAGAATCTTCCCCACTGCGGCCCTCTCCATCCCGCATGTAATATATGCAGCACGAGGCTTTAGAGAGCACTCCAATCCACATTATCTTCACGTTGTTCCTCAAATCTGTTTGCATTCCAGTGAAACCAAACATTCTTATGGTTTGATCGCCGCTCTAAATTAATGAGTTAATGACGCCTGACGGTTTCATTTAGGCCATAAAGAGGCGTGTAATCAAACTAAAGGGCAACATCAAGCTTTAACCAGGAGAGACACAAAATTCGAGTGACCAAAGTGACCAATAAAGGATCATAAACACCATTGTTTCCACACTGTAGCACTGTTCAGACCAGATGCTGAAGGTAAAATGTGCTTTGTAATACACCAGCAGGCCTCTTTGTTAAGAAGAGGGTTTTTTTTGCTGCTAGAAACTATAATGTTTCTAACCTCCTATATACATAAAACATCTACAAATTGAAATGGATGCTTCCGAAAACACACACGACTAAGAACAAAGCTTTCTGTGACTTGTAGTTATCGCACCCAGAGATTTGTTTGTCTGCAATTTCAGGAAATTTGCTAAAGAAAATGACAATTAATATGCATTTGGGTACATCAAGATAAATGGGTGGTGGTGCAAACTCCCAGGTTGGATCCCATTAAAACCTTTGCAGACTAAGAAGAAACAATGAGCTCTTGGTCTTGTTCCAATTGTAAATAAATCAAAGCAGTTTAACAATTTATATGTGACTGATCTTAATGGAGGGAAAAACTGGGAACACAACGTCATTATACAAGGATACAGAAAACTCATTCCAGCAAGTGTTGGCAAAGTAGCTTAATGCTTGCATCTTAGTTTTGGGCTGTGTTTCTTCTGTTTGATGAGGTTTGTTACCTGACAGCTCAGACAAGCAGCAGGTGTTTGCACATTGTTAAACAGGAATGAACAGACTCTCAAAGTGAGCTGAAAACAAACCTTGAGTTCACTGTTTTTGTGCGAGGATTTTAATCTTTAACACCTATTTTATTTATATTGTAACAACATTTTTACAACCGCCCAGAATACAGCAACCCAGCATGTGTGTTCCTGCAGGTATGTTTGAATGAACTCTGGCAAGACTGTGAATGGAAGATAAAGGTGAACCCTGTCAGGTCGTCCTCACCGTTGCTGCTGGGCTCCTCCGTCGACTTGTCACTCTCCCCGTCCGCCTGACCGTCAGCATCCTGCTCTGCATGCTGCAGACTGAGCTTATGACACACCTCAAACGCCTGACCGACTGTCCGCACGATGCGCATGGCCTGAGTCTGGACGGAGAGAGATCGAGACAAAAGGTCACAGTCGGAGGTGTAGAGCAGAAAGATTTAACAGCAATAGATGCATGTTTTCACTCCACCAAGCAACGCAGCAAGTCACTGATCAGCTCCTTTAAACCCCTGAACCCCAGGCGGTTTTTCTTTTTTTTTTTTTGTTGCTCCAGTCATCATATTCACTTTTGGCATATTTTTCACTGCAATATGAAGCCCTGCACCCTTATGGAAACAGCACAACCATGGCTAAAAATACAAAGAGCTCAAATGTTATAATGCCATAAGTCATTTTTAAAAAACCTCAACATTTCTTTGAGTATTTATTTTACAAAAACTGAATAAAATCACATGACCATTGGTCGTCTAAGTCACCAATGGTTTCACTGCTGTGCCATGGAAAATGTTTATTGTTTGTGTATTATTTTTAATGGAATTTGGTTCATACAAATGGATTCTATTTGGCACATTGTAAAGGAGACATGTACAATAAAGTGATTTTGATGAAATATTATAATCCTATTAGTTTACATTTGGTTAGGATTTCTAACAGGAAGGCATGCCACAGATGAGGAGCTTCGGACTGTTGGAAAGCTGAAAATCTCACAATTGTTCCTCAGTTTTTACAGTTTTTGGTTTTGATAAAGTTGTAATTTGAGTTATTTTAAAAGATGGCATGCCTTTCAAACCCAACAGAGAGTTTTAGGTTTCAGAAGGCTTATATAAGTGCTTCAAAAATGGACTTGCCTGGCACATTTCCAACTTTAGACTGGTTAGAATCTTAACCTTTTGTCTGAAAAGTTTTTAACATTTAGCAACTAGGACTAACAAATCACACACCAAATGTTTTGTAAAGCCTGCAGTTCAACCAAGCTCAGCTAACGAGTCCCTGGATATTTGTAAAGTGACTGTTGGTTACTCTTTTTGGTTGCACCAAGGAATGCAGAGATTTCTTTTTGTTTTTACCAGAAACTTACTGCAAATGGTTTATTTGTGA